TCTCTCTCTCTCTCTCTCTCTCTCTCTCTCTCTCTCTCTCTCTCTCTCTCTCTCTCTCTTGGTCTTCTTCTTCGTCGTGGTCTTCTCTTGCAGGTGCGCGGCGGCTTCTCCAACCTTCGAATCCGCTATAGCGGACTACTACTCGCGGTGGCCACCTCTGCTATGGCGCATCACCCTGCGACACACAACTCGGCGCGCATGGAATAGCGGGTACCAGCTCCGATACCAATGCAACCAGACTCGTTCTCATTCACACTTTTCATGCATGTAAACAGTAGCGCAGCAAACTGGCGACATCCGCCCACTCAAAACTCAGAGATATGGCATCCAGATACATGACTTATACAGAAGCTACGCAAATAGGGTGTGGAGTTGGAACCTTTCAAAGGAATCATATGCGTCCCAGAACACTCTGGTAAAACACACCTATCCGACAGTTTCAAAACTGAGAGGAGCAGAACTGGGATTAGATGTGTTGGCAAACTGAGATAGTACAGGCTAACTTAGGCAGGGGTGAGGGGTGGTAAAACCTTCCTCGGGGAAGTATTCAATGCTGTCCACTCGGGGCCCCCAGCCATAATGGGGGGGAGTGTGCGTGTTGCTCTCTTATTGACTTGCCGGGGAAAAGGAACTGGCCTGTTGCTCCCCATAATGGTAGGAGCCAGAACCATGAGGTTCTGTTTTGTTGAATCAAAAAAAAAAAAAGGAAGTATAATGCCGTCCAATTGCAAAAAGAAATGAATGAACTTGGGAGGAGAGAGAGACCAAAGAAGGAGAAGAAGAAAAAGATGCACACCTGCCAAAGACTACTACTACTACTACTACTACTACTACTACTACTACTACTACTAGGCTATGGCGGACTACCAAGGGCCTTGCCCTGATGTGCAGCAGACAATGCAAAAGCAGCTATGTCCTTCTCTCCGCAGGCCTCCATGCCTAACTCTGCCTTGAAGCTTCTTTGATTGGCTCTACCCCAATGGCGTTCTTCCAGATGCAGTGTCTGCCAAGGTGATGAAGATGGTGCCACCGTAGCCAGGTACGTCCCTCTGGCCGCCCTCCTCCCTAGTCCCCTTCTTCCTCCTCCTCCTACCTGAGCCCGTCCACCATAGCCGAAGGTGGAGGGCTGGGCACTCCTCTCCCAGCGCTGCACACTAGCGCTCTCCACCAGGCGCTCTAGCAGCGTGACGCCCAAACTTGCACGCAGCAAATGAGGAGGAGAAAGTTGCTCCTCCCAGAGATATAGCGGCCTACCAGCCTCTTGGGCGGTGACTTCCAGGCCGCGCGGCCTCCAAGCAACCGGTACCTCCTCCCTTTCGGAGGGAAACGTCATTGCAGACCTGATATCTACTCTACAGGCCCTAGACTCTCTACTACCAGACTCCTACCCCTAAAGGTACTAACTTTCTGTCTTCTTCTGCTCGGCCTACCGCTACTCAAGTGCTACCGGTACCGACACTACGCTACTTAGTGCCCTAAGCTACCCCCTTGGCCACTTGAGTGTTTTTCCCGGCTGCAACCCTCAAAGTCGCTGCCACAGGTAAGTACCGGCCCCGCGAGCCTCCCAAACAAACGAATGCCCTGACGGGCCACACACAGACTCTCAGGACGACAAGCACTCAGACAGGCACGCAGACCAGTAAGCACGCATACACACAGACTTAGAAAACTCAGCAAAAAGCGGGAATCTCAGCAAGGCATACATTCCAGCGGCAAACCCCAGAAATCAGCAGTGTTTTCAGTCCGTGTTTTGGCAGGTCCTTACATGTATTATACTATTATGTACGTTTTTTGGTGTCACATTCATTACATTACGTTTGCTTGTTCCGTCATCCCTTGATGGTTCAGATCGTGTGCTTTGTGGATGTTTCTGAATGAGAACACAGATGCCAGCAGGGATTCATCGAGCAAGCAATGTGCGGCGAGGAGCACGAGTCACTGCTTGTGGGTCTCCCTTTGGGGTGCTGTCCCCCCATCACTTCCATAACAGGTAGGGCGAGGCTTGGTGAGGTTGGCAACTTACTCTCCAATTCTCACTCTTTGATTCTACCTGCCATGGCTACAAATGGGATGATAGATAGTGCGGGACAGGTGTATACCTGGTACTGCCATGATGATGCCTGGTGTTCCCTTTTTTTTCTTTTTCTTTTTGAGTTTCGAGAATTTTGGACCATGTCTTGATTTATGTGTGTCATCCTTGTGCAGGGGCCATGCTAATCTTCTATGTATCGTTCCAATTTTAATGGATGTCCCGAAGGACAGATGCCTGGTGTTGCTATGGTGGTGCTGCATGAAAAATATGCTCATATGTTCGATAGACAATGATTGGGATGGTCAGTGAATGATTAATGAACTGCATGTGGTACCAGGAGGATCGAAATGGTGCAAGGAAAATGAGCGATAGCGAATTCCAGAAACCAAGCAGCATCATACACATGAAACCAGATAGTCGTGACCTCAAACCAAAAGCAGAATTGCAACTCGAGTTCCACCAAATAAGAGCACAGCAAAAGCTCATAAGTGACACTGTTGGAATAGTCTCATCATCATCAACAAAGAACCAATGTCGGTTTCCTATCTGGCGCTCGGCGCCCAGACTATGAATGGCAGATCCTATCTAGCCTATCTACAGTGCTGCTGATGACGTCAACAGCTCCCCGAAGTACGAGCAGATCTCGGCCAATGCCGTTCGCTTCAAGCACCAGGTATGTCTCTCGCATCACTCACAACCTCGATCCCCCACACACAGATGCCACGAGCACCCAAGGACCACCATGCGGCCCCATCCAGCATTGCGCAGGGCAGCTCGGATATGGCTGCCTGCTCTTCCTGCTCGCCCGTGAGTGCGTGGGCGCTGGCCAGCGATTAGCACAGCAGCGCTTGCGCAGCATGCAGCCAGTGCCCGAATGCCGAATGCCAGGGCAGGCACTTTCCTAAATGGAAGTGGGCTGCCTGCTGCGTGTGGCCTGGTTGCGCTGGGCCCCTCCCCAGAAGCTTCCGGTAGGCCCCAAGTGGCTGAGCCCCAGTCTAAACGAGTCAGGCCCAGGGCCTATGGTGGTTGCTCGTGTTCAAGTGCCCGCAGCCTGTGTTCGGTCCATGTTGCGTATCTAGCCTAGGGCCTGCCTCAGTTACGTAAGAGAAACGCAGCCAGGGCCTGGGCGCTCTCAACCAACTGGCGCTCCACAACTACCTGAATTTTCCCCAGTTGCGTGGTAGCCAAAAATAGGCCTCTTGTCCTTGGTCGGGCCTGCCTTCACTTAGGGCGGCCGACACTGTTGCAAACAGGGCCCAATAAGGCTTACTGAGGCCTTGCGCCTCGCATTCGCTCCTCCATACTTCGCTAGTCCTCTAAGAAGTCCATTCAATCTGGCGCTTTCCTTTCTGCAGCAACTTCTCGTAATGGGCGACAACATGTGGAGCGGTTTGCATCAGTTCGCCCTGAGTCAACCGTTTATCCTCCTTGTCTCTCTGACACACTTGACAAGTCTCCACGTACAACTTGGCATCTCTCATCATTCTGGGCCATCAGAACTGCTGCAGCAGATTGGCTGCAGTCTTCTTATAGCCAAAATATCATGTGGCATCATGACACTCACCTAAAAATAAACTACGCAAAGACTCCCGATTAGGCTCACACAACGTTTATTCCCGGCCTTCTCAAGGAACAGCAGGCCATTGACCAACGCAAACTCAACAGAAGTCACTTTTTGTTCTTCACCTCGAGTCTGCGTATGATCTCAGCCATAAATGGATCCTCACGATAGGCTTCCACCAAAGAGCGAGTAACATCGTCCGCAAGCCCAAACTCAGTGACCAGCGCACCAAGGAAGTCTGGCCTACGCGACAGCGCATCAGCAACTTTGTTGTACTCTCCTTTGATGTACTGGGGTTCGAAGTCATACTGCTCAAGGATTTCAATCCAGCGTTTCAGCGCATTAGAGAGCACAGGCTGGGTTCTCATCCACTTCAGGGTCTGATGATCAGTCCTGACGTAGAAGAACTTCCCAAGGAGGTAGTGCATCCAGTGGGTTAGCGCTTTGTAGATCCATAAGGCTCCTTCTCATAGGTGGACTTGTACTCGACAAGCCTCAACTTTGGCCCCTCCCGCTGTGCAAGCATGGCGCCTATGCCATATTGGTTGGCATCCGTGGTTACTATAAACAGCTTGTCAGGATCAGGAAGTTTCAAGACCTCATGGTGTGTCAGAGCATGCTTCAGATGTCTGAAGGCAACCTCACACCTGTCTGTCCACTCCCATGGGGTGTCAAGGCGTGTTTGGTCCGTCAAAGGGGTGGGCACTATGCTATAGTTCTTGACAAAATTGCGGTAGTAGCCGGTCATCCTAAGAAGGACCTCATCTTAGTCACAAACTGAGGACGCGGCCAGTCACGAATGCTGGCCACCTTCGCTTCATCGGGCTTCAATCCCTCCGATAAAATCTCATGACCCAGATACAAGATCCGGGTGCGGCCAAACTCGCATTTCTCCCCGTTGATCTTGAACTGGTGCTGGCGAAGGAGACTACGGACTTTGTCTAAGTGGCCAACATGCTCTTCGGCAGTCCTACTAAAAATAAGTATGTCATCGAGGTACATGATGACAAACTTGTCCAAGTAGTCATGAAAGATCCGGTTCATGGCGTGCTGAAAGGTGCCAAGAGCATTGCAAAGGCCGAAAGGCATCACCACAAACTCGTACAGACCGTACCTGGTCTGAAAAGCGGTTTTGTGTTGATCCTCRRGCCGWATTGCAATYTGATGGTACCCGAACTTCAGATCTATCTTACTGAAGTACCGGCACCCTTGCACTTGGTCCAATAAGTCATCGATGCGCGGTAGGGGCTCTGCGTTCTTTACTGTGATGGCATTGAGGCCCCTATAATCAATGCACATCCTCGAGGTCTCCCCCTTCTTTGGTACGAATAAAACAGGAGATTCGTCAGGGGAAACGCTCGGTTGGATCCACCCCTTCTCTATGAGTTCCTTGAGTGTTTGACGAAGCTCATCAAGCTCCATTGGAGACATTCGATAGATCCTACCCTTCAGAATACTAGATCCTGGGATAATCTCTATCGCATGGACGACCTCTCTCTCAACAACCCTTGTCGGCTCTTCAAATAGATCAGGGTATTTAGCGACCACTCCCGCTATCTCTGGAGGCATTTTCACCAGCTCCCCTTCTGCAGAGACATAAACTAAGTACATACCCTCCTCCGGATTTTGCTTATAATAATTATAGAACACGGCCGCACACATGCATCCGTAGGATTCAATCAGACTACCAGCTTTAAACTTACGTAATTTGGCGGTCCCCCCTCCGGGCAATAGTGTGTTTGACCGCTTTTCAGTCCCAATCAAATTGGGGTTGTGCAACCGAAAGATAGTACATACTCAATAGGATATCCATTGGGAGATCGGCGTTGACTAGGAACGAGACTCGATGTCTCAGTTCCCCTCCCGCGTACGAGAAAAGACACTCAATGTCTTTAAGGTAGTCAGTGACTACCATGCGGTGTTTGTTGGCACATGTCGACTCCACATGTCGACTCAGGCGCTGCACTTGCCCCTGTAAGCGCAGTCTCTCAACGCACGCACGACTAATAAAGTTACGCGTCGAGCAAGTGTCATAATAGGCCCCAACCTTACGGCCGTCGATAACTACCTCGCCGACGAACAACTCACCCTTAGGGGCTTTGGCCATGGTCGTCCAAGAAACTAGCGGGTCTGATCTAGACCACTCCTCCTCTAGCTCCTCTAAGGATTCAAACACATTCATCGAACAGAGGATCGATGGGTCTGAATGTGTTTGCGGGACGACAACGGAATCAGTAGCTTGGGCCATCTCTTCAAGATGGTGAGGGTGTGTCCACCACCTCGACCCTTGCAGGAACAATTACGATTCCTACTGGCCCGACGTGTTTCCCGAAGCAGTGCCAGAACTGCTGGTAACATTGCTACCCTGGGAAGTGGAGGATCCCGTCGCCTGCCCCATTGTAGGCGGAATTTTTTCCGTCACCTTCTTGTTTCGACACTTGAACTGGTTTTGGCCATATTGGCCACAACAAATACAAGCCTGTTGGGTGTACCGGTCTCTCCACACGTCCTTTGTGAGACCCGCTTTCTCCCATGGAGGAGCGTTGAGGTCTACTTGACTCCTAGACTGGGAGCCTCCACGGCGTCTACCGGTCGCCTTACCTTTCTGGACTGAGGCAGTGACTGCTCCACCCCCTAAAGCCTCCGCGCTGCCCGCCTTTGAACCCACTTTCTCCTGGAAGTCGTCATCTAGTTCGATGGTTGAGCCATCGTTATCGACGAACATAATGCGACCCTTCGCCTTCTAATTGGGAGGCACTGCCTTCTTCCTACCGCCCGTCGTGGGTCGGTGCCCATGCCCTATCTTTGCTTCTAGGTCTAGGGCTTCCTTGCTGATCGAGGGGAAGTTGTGTACATTGATATTTGCCTCACCCGCCAACTGATTCTTGAGTGGCATGGGAAGACACCTCAGGTAAGTGGTAAGTAAGACCTAGGGATCGTAACATACTCCAGGTACACAGATCAGACGCTCCACTGCGTCTGTGGCATCCCTTACTGACTTGAACGATCTAGAGCTCAAAGTCAGGATCGCGTCAGTGGCTTTTTGAGCCTCTTGCGGATCATGCCATCTTTCTTCCACCAGCTTGAGGAAATCATCCAATCTCTGGTTGACTGCCCAAGCGTGGAAGCCATGTCTGTATCCCTATAGTTGTACTAACCCGCTTAACCACCTTGCTGCACTCCCCTCTGGGTAGGAGGCAGCCACAAGCACTTCCTCGTGCGGCAAGGTCAACTTGCACTTTACATAGACTGGTACTGACCTCAACCATGTGTCAAGGTCTTCGCCCCTCTTATCCCCTGAGAAGGGTTTAGGTAAGGCGATGGCAGTCTTCGGAACCCACTATCCTTGTCCCGGTACCTGCGCCACTCCAGGTTGTGGACCCTGGGGTGCAGGCTACTGCACTAGCTGTTGTTGGGGTTGTGTGCCCTGCGGCTGTGCCGACTGCGAGACAGCAGGCTGCCGGCAGTCTATAACGGAAGTTGGGAATACACTGTTTGTACAGGAATCTCAGTTGTACACAAGGACCTGTTGAGAACCCGGCTGTTAAAGGCATACTTAATAGGGAAGCGGCTTGTATTGATGTCGCGCCCCCACCGCTTCCAAGGCCAGGTTCGATGTCTCTCCTCAGGCCGAGTGCAGTGGGTTGGTGGACTGGCAGGCTGTCACGCAGGATTTTGGTAGGTATAATGGAAATTATATAAAGGTGTATTCAGGAACAGCCTTTGTCACTCTCAGTCATACAGTCAAGTAGTCAGGGATATCCCTCCTGCAAATGGCGACACAGCTTAGAGTGAGGCGTTCGGGTTTATCGCCTGCACCTTACCCCGTATAAAGGTTAGATTCAAGGTCACCGGAGTCCCTATTATCCAGGAGTCCTTCAAGTAGCCTTGAGTGTAACATATGTAATGTGAAGAGGAAGTAACACACATGCATCATAGAGCAAACGACACTGAAAGAACAAGAAGACCAGAAACCAGACTTTGCAAGAACATGACCAAAAACACAAGACTGAAGAGTAGTACACAGGGAATGCAGGAAGCAGCCATTGGAGGGCTACAGTCACTGATAAATCATAATAATAATGTCATGATACATCATAGTGACTAGAGTATACGAGCCTCAATCAATTACAATGAGCGGTACCCCCTCGTGAGTGGGCTCGATTGTCTGGGACTCCATGTTTGGTATGCGCTGGTCCTCCTATTGAGAACCTGAGTGGCTATCGACTCTGGGACCACGTAACTGATATCCAGAGAGGCTGCTCGGTCAATGTGCAGGACGTACGCCATGCACCTAGCCATCTCATTGTCCGATACACTCCTGAGGTACAGCTCCTCGGCGAGGAAAATGTTGCCAGTGGCACCAATCAAAATCTCAATCCGTCCCTTGCCGTAGATATAGTCGTAAGAAACCTCCAGGAAACGATCTCCATAAAGTGACTTTCGAAAAGTCTGCATAGCAAAGTCCGCTCCAACCAGGTGACTATAGCCATCCCCAAGGTAAGGGACAGGTCCCTTCCCTCTAGAAGGGTCGGCTGTCTCCTCCGACTTGGGCTCTCCTGACATAAAACTCAGTCTCCCTCAAGTAAGTAGATATGCGATCCGCCGCAATGTCGTCCTCCGTCGTTGCCGCTTACCGATCTCCGACGTCTATGGAATCAAGCCCTATGAGTATCCCAATCAAAGTAATCTCTCAGGTCAACATCACTCACACAACAGGGCTCTTGGTCCGACTCATCCGTCTCTGTCCTCCTCAAGCAAGTAGTGATTAGAACCCCGAACTTGGCTACCTCGCCCTTGATCCGCTCATCTTTCCGCCTTTTCTTCTTGCTGCATGCCTTGTTGAGAGGTTTGGGATTGCACCCATCAAAGTCGAAGAGAGCACCCCCTGGTGCAGAAGGAATCTGGGGAAACACCACGTGTAGCCAGTGTTCCCTCCAGTAGCTCTCCCTACGAAAGATGTAGTCAGCTATCCGGTCATAAGTGGCCGCCTTCACTCCCTGTCCAGCACCTCTCACATGGTAAGTAATCACCAGCGTATGTCTCGATGTAGGGGACTCATTTGCCCTGATAACAGAAGTCTTATGTCCAGTACAGCCATATCGAAACTTCTCCACGAGCGTGCCCCACCTCGGGGCGGCAGCATGTTGAGGTGCCAGCTTGGCCAATCTGCAGGGTATGGTGAAACAGTCCACTTGAGTGACCAGCCAGTCGATAGTGTCCAGGCAATAGGGGAATACCAACAACTCGATGGAGAAAATGCCCCAATGGGGTCTGAGAAGGAGCAGCAACTCAATAGACCCTCCAACCAAATCAGCGGCATCCAACTCAATGTAGGGGTCTGCCTGAATGAGCCCGACTGAATAGCAACCAGCAACTCAACGCAGGGGCCCGCCTGAACAGCAATCAACTTAATATAGGGGGCCGCCTGAACAACAATCAACTCGATATAGGGGCCCGCCTGAATGGGCCTGGCTGAACAGCAATCAACTCGATATAGGGGCCCGCCTGAACAACAATCAACTCGATATAGGGGCCCGCCTGAATGGGCCCGCCTGAACAGCAATCAACTCGATACAGGGGCCCACTGAATGGGCCTGCCTGAACAGCAACTCAACGGCTCAATACGGCAACATCATAAGGGTATTTCCGCAGCGAGTGGACTAGAATATGAGGACTGGGACTGCCAGTATCGCCTTGATGGAGGAATGATCAACAAAATGTTATCTACGCAGGGAGCAATCACATAATACTGTATGCACTGCGACTGGACTGCGCAAATATCGTTTGTGCAGGAAAAATACCGTCTGCACAAGCTGAAATCAGGGGCACCGCCGAAGTTTCCGGACCAGGGGATCTTCAGAAAGAGCGGTCAGAGAATCACCATTTTTATATCGACTAAAACAAACCCTTTCTGCCTCAAATGTAGGGGAAGGGGTCACTTGATATCCTTTTGTCCGCAGGGAGGCACAGGCAGCAAACGGACTCCACTGCGCCAGTCGATGTTGCAGGAATGTGAAAGCAAGCCAGGGGTATGGTACATTAACTCGCCACAGTACAGAGGGTGGATTTTTTACGACAACTTGGAGGCTCCAAGGTGGATGTGGGTCCTAAAGAGAGAACCTACAGTCAAGCCGGACATATACCCTCCGTACTTAGGTGGAGGCAGACAAGAGCGAGGAGGATGGAGGACAAGGAAACGGGTTATATCTCAAAGCCAATACTAGACGACTTGACGATACAGGATGAGCAGCAAAGATTGAAGCTCATGGAGGAGCTCCATGTGCTCGGGAAAAATGCAGAACTGGCGTTTCTAGAAAATTTTGCTGCCAGGAATCAACAGCAAGAGCAACATGAGGAGGAACAGGGGGATAACATGGAATATGGGGAGGATGAAGGGGAAAGCACAAGTGGAGAGAATCACTCCTTAAAGAGAAAAGACCTGTCAGGGGGGAGGGAGGGATTAGGCAGGCAAGAAGGCCAATCGCAGCAAGCTAAAAGGCAACAGAAGGGCACCGTAACTGAGAATGCGGAGGTGAGCCGAACTGAGGGGTCAAAGGATGGAGCAACACAAGGTAAGGAGGGAAATACTCAAGCAACGGGATCGGATGTCAGAGGCCAGGAAAGCGAATCCACAAATGCATCCCGGGGAACCACCACACCAAAGGCATCCGTCAGTATCATTGAGGAAAGAGGGAAGCTCATGCGTAATGTTAAAAATATGACAGAGGAGGAAATACAGCAGGCCGAGGAAGATAAGAGGGATTTTACTGCAGATTCAGGGTCTGAGGACTCATCAAGGGAAGAGGATTGGAAGGAAGAATCAGGGGAGGAGGTCATGACGCTAGAGCGGTGGATTCAGACGGTGGAACAACTGGAATGGGGGCGAACGATTGAATGCGAGATCAGACTGGCACATCATAAGCATTTGAGGACTCGAAGCAGGCGGCTCAGATTGCGGAATATATCACCTTCGAAAACCGTTTTGAGTTGTTAAAAAGGGAAGGAGAGAAACGAATTCTATGCAGCTCAATATGCAAGAAGAACTCGCCCAGTCAAGAAAGACATTCAAATTCAGAACGAAGAATATGCCAAAATCTTCCAATGGTCGAAGACATATCAAAGCAAGAGTAGTAAAGGAGGCAACATGAAGTGGAAGGCACAAATGGATGAAGAGCAGGGAAGTAGGGTGGAACGGACGGTGGGAACTCAAGACCAGCCAATGAAGGACGCAGCTAAGCGGCAGGAAGAAAGGGAGGAGGACGAAAAGAAGGAATTGCAAAGACAAGCAGCGATGTTGGAAGCCCAAGTCAATGCACTAAAGGACGAGAACAGGGAAGTTGAGGAGGAAACCATAAATCTGCAAAAAATAGTAAAAGGGCAGTTGAAGGAGATTGAAGCAGCAGCACGGTCGGAGGCAAAAAACGGAGCCAAGAGGAGAGTTATTCTGCCCTGTCGATGGAATGAAAAACATTCGGATTGGGAGGTAGCAATTAACCGCTCTCTCCAGCTCATCACAACACCTGTCAGCGCCTGCGCGGGCAAGGACTTACATAATCTAATTGGAGAGGGAGTACCGTCTTGAGCCTATGTACTAGAGGATAGGAGGGAAGAGACAATGGAAGCTTTGGAAGCGGGAGGGGAGGAAGCAGGGGCGGATTTCAGACCGCTGCTCATGCATATGAGGGATATGACAGATTTGAGGGAAGGTCTGATCTGGATGCCTTGGCTGGTTGTAGAAACCATCCCCTATGAGGTGGCAGCAGAATGGGTGGCGCGTAGCACAGCAGTAGCGGTCAAGGTGGACGCCTTCGCGTGGAAGCCAGACTTCTTGCCCGGTGTCAACAGTAATGGATACGGCTCTGCTGGGTTCTTGAACCAACTAGGCAGCCAAGGCATTGGGTAAGACACGGGTAGTCAACTCATGGCGGACAGGGGGCCAAGAAGACCAAGGAAGCAGGCAACGAGAGATCAGGAGAGTCATACACCCACGAAAATTAAAATCATGTCATGGAATGTAAATGGCTTAGCAGGGATATTGGACAATCACGATAAATGGCAAAATATAATAAATTACACAAAGTGGTTCGGCATCTCTCCACCGGACTTCGTATGTTTACAAGAAACACACCTCACAGAATCAAATGAACTTCAGCAAACAAAGAACAGGATAATGTAGAGGCTTTAGAGGGTCAAAGAGGCATGGTGGGCACGAGCGGTTAAACCTCATTCAGCAAGGGTGGTCATACTTCAAAACAATAGATCACCAGCAGCAGGCAAGATGGTGATGAACATCATTACAATGGACGTGGCAGAGGGAAGATGGGTGATGGTTAACTTCGAGTTCCACGAGGAGCCATACACGTTGTTGGCGGTATACTGTCCCAATGGGTTCCGCAGAGGGCAGAGTTTGTGGGACAGCTTCAGGACATTCTAGAGGCGGATAGGCACTTAATACTGGTAGGGGACTGGAATGCTGCTTTGGATCCTAGCTTGGATAGAGTGTCTGAAGAGGGTAAACACTGGGAGGACGGCTTGGCAGAAGAAGCTTTGCCAATTCACAGCATGATGACAAGCAGGGACCTGGTAGACCCATACAGACTGCAGTTCCCTGATGAAAGACAATTTACTTACTTAAAAAGGAACCGCAGTCAACACGTTTCGGCATCACGGATATATTATTTTTTAATGTCGCCAAGCATAACTGATATGATACATTCAGTGGGTATAGGGGATCAGCCATATGGGACAGGATTGAATCATTAGCCTATTTTTCTCCATCTCGTAACAGATAAACAGGTCAAAAGGGGTAGGGGTTTTTACAAACTAAATAATTCCCTTTTGCGCACGACGGAAATGAGGCAGGCGGTGCTGCAGGTGTGCCATGCACATAATCCGGATACACAAACTTTCCCGGACTTGCTTCTAGCACTATCCAAAGCTTCGGTGGGAGTGGCTAGACGATTGGCAGCCAGAAGGAGGGAAAGGGAGCAGGAGTTACAGCAAGCGATGAGGCTAGCAGAGCACAACATCATCAACTTCCCAGGACACGACATCTATGAAAGGGCACTTAAGGTAGCGAGAGAGGAGTTGGCGGAATGGCAGCGTTGGAGGTCGCGGGGTCTGCAAATGAGGGTCAGGGTTAGAGAATGGGAGAAAGGGGAACGAATGACCAAATTCTTTTTTCAAAAAATTAAATATAGGGGAAGTAACGACCTGATCGGTCAGTTACAGGGACCGACAGGACTAACTTCTGACAAGGACGAGATGCTTCAAGTGGCCTTTGATTTCTATAACAACCTATATGCAACAAGGGAGGCTGAGTACCCAAGGCAAAAGGTGAAGGAGGCACAATCCAAGTTTATGGCCTACCTGCAACCCACAAGCGCCCGACATCAGGCAGCAAGTTTGGACGCTCCATTGACTTAGGAGGAGCTATGGGAAGCATTAAAATCTATGGCTCCAAATAAAACTCCAGGGAAAGATGGACTCACCAGGGAGTTTTGGATGGAGTATTGGCCAATCCTAGAGGAGGAATACCTGGCTTTTCTCGAGCAGGCGTGGCATGCAGAAGGATTGGGGCAGGACCCGGCAACCAGAATAGTCATGCTACTTTACAAGAAAGGAAATCCATCGGATATTTGTAATTATAGACCGATAACCCTACTAACCCTGACGCACAAGATAGTCGCCAAGGTATTAGCGAATTGCCTCATGGCAATTCCAGCGAGTTGTTTTTATATAGATCAGAGAAGGTTTATACCGGGAAGGTTCATATTAGATAATGTAATGACACTTACGGAAACGGTACGCTACATCCGGGACAAGATAATTAATGCAACCATCTTGTTCTTCGACTTTGAAAAGGCGTATGATAAGGTCAGCTGACCATTCCTACAACAATGCATGGAAAAAATGGGAGTAGGCCCAAACTTCAGGAAATGGATAAGAGTTCTCTACAATGATGCACAAGGGCAAGTGCAGGTTAATGGACATTTATCTTCGACATACAGGATGTCGAGATCGGTCAGGCAAGGGGATCCCCTAGCCGCTCCGATATTTCTTTTCATAATGGAAGCGGTGGCTTCCTACCTGCGCAAGGATCCATCAATCGAAAGGCTGGTAGCGGTACCGGATCAGCAGGGTCACACTATCCATCTCCTTACAACCCTCCTTTTTGCGGACGACCTGACGGTGCTTATAAGGGCGTCGGATTCATCGTTTCAGGCACTAACGAGAAGCCTTCCAGCTTGCATCGGAAATGAAGATCAATTGGCAGAAAACAGAGGGGTGGTGGTTAGTAGACCAGGAGCAAGAAGACATCCTTCCGGTTAACAGCCCGGAGGGGCTGCAGTGGAGAACAACACGAGTTCCTATTAGATATTTAGGGATCAAGATTACTGAAGGCGGGGCGCATCAGTCGATGGCGGCATATCTAATGGCAAAAATTCTAGCTAAGTTGGGGGCCTGGTCGGCAGTCTATACATCCATTTATGGGAGGGCCCTTATACTCAACGCGTCCATCTTCTCTAGGCTATGGTATGCGGGGTCAATATGGACTCCACCAAGGACTGCGGCGGCATTATTGAGAAGAAGAGCGGCGATATATCTTTGGACATCCAAAGTTACCAACTCACGCTTTATATCCAAAGTGGCATGGAAACATGTCACTAGACCAAAGCAGCAGGGTGGTCTGGGTATTCTAGACCCAAACATTCAGCTTAAGGCACTACAAACCAAGTGGGTAATTAAGCTAATATCCCATCAAAAGTTATCATGGACTTCTCTGGTGTTGCACAGGATAAGACAAATGGCTAAATATAAAACGCCACAGAACATGTCGGGCCTGTTTTGGATAATGTGTAGCAATTGGGCTAAGGTGGGCAGAAGAGAAGGGGGTAACACGGAGGACGAGGAGGAAGCTACGAAACTATCATATTGGGGACAACTGCTGAAGTTGTGGAAATATATCTTCACTGCAAGGGTCAAGGAACCTTGCACGAGAGAAGAAGTGCTTAGACAACCTTTATTCTGCAACTCAAGCATTAAGGACGTACAGGGGAAGCCGCTGACGCTCTCAGTGAAGGATGCGAAGTGGGGAAAGTGGCTGGAGCATGGGGTTTGGCAGGTGAAGCACCTCTGGGAAGAGAGGGAAAATAGGTGGAAAACAGTCAGAGAACTCAGGGTAAGTTAAAGGGATGCCACACATTATCAAACAACCTTGAGGTAATATTGGGAGCCATACCGCAAACATGGGTGCAACTGCTACAGAACGGTACACAGTGGGGCCAGGGAGACTGGGCCACATGGCGAGATGACAAGGAACCAAAAGAAGTCTTTAGGGTCTGGAGCCAAGAGGTTTCTAGGCCAGATTGGCTGCATGCAGATGAATATGCCATACTCCATCCTCCCAACACTACTTCTCAACTGGATAGGACATCCAAAGCACTGATTGCCATTCTCAAACAGTACTTGCGGAAGGTAAGGGTGGTAGAGACAGATGAATACACAATATTCAATATCTGTACCACTTGGAGAACTGGAAGTGGACCCAGGAGAATGGGCATGGAACATCAGAAGTGGAGAAACAGGAACAGCCAGAAGAATCAACATTCCGCACTACACTACTCGAATTGGGTATAGATTGAGGAGGCGATCTCACTCTCTTACGCTGCACTTGCTGAGGCGATGGGAGAGGAGGTTAGGGGTCCCCCGGCACCAATTGTCCAAAATTCCATGGACAAACATCGCAGCGATACGCCTGGGCTCAGTCAGAAGTATGCAGTGGCTAATAGCTCATGTGGCACTTCCGGTGAATGTCTGGTTAAATGAGCGAAGAAGTCYGAGGCAGAGAGATTCGGAGAGCGCGGTATGTAGAGTGTGTCAAGAGGGAATCCCATAGACAATGCAGCATTGCCTAATGGAATGCGTTGAGGCAACCACTATTTGGGGAAAACCCAGGAGCATTTGGGGCCAGGTGTCAAGGGGCATTTTCCCAGACTCCAAGATTTCCTTATTGCTGGGTCTCCAAGTCCCAAAGCATTGGCAGCCCTTCGAGAAACACATGTTCCAATTGATACGCCAATACTGTCTCTGGACCATTTGGAAGCATCGTTGCCAAATTACTATTGAAGGATGGTCAATGCACAAGC